AGAAATGCATAGGTGAGATGTTTTTCTTGACCCCGGGGCCCCGGGACAGAATATCAAAGTCTAACACGGGTAGTTCCAACCCCAGCGTAAAATCTTTTCATTTTTATCCCAAATTTTTTTGCCTCTTTTCGAAACCCTATTTCATACGGGAAACCCTTGGTCAGCCCCTTAAAAAGAAATGTCTACCAGTTAAATAATGCCCCCCAGTGGGGAACTGCCCCTTTTTGATTTGGGCCCGGGTTTCCCTTTTTTACAGCCCCATAACATTTCTCTGATCCTTGAAAAGTTCCCCGAAAAAAAAGGTACTGGTCTCCTGCCTGAGATAGACTGAGCAATGGGAATGTCAAGGGATTCCGTTTCCAACCCTTTGAAAGGGTAGGGACTCATCAATGGCTTGAACTATGAGTTTTCAATGTTTCCCGTTTTAGAGGAGGAAAAACGGTTCTGCTTCCTTTGTCACAGGGAAAAGTGGTAAACACTCCAAAGGGCGGACTTTTCTTGAATGTTGTAGAAACCATTGTGGAAATAATAAGGGAAAAAAGACCAAGGTTTTTCGGAGTGGGCTTTTTTTTTCTTGAGGCATTGGAAGTTCCCTAAAGGGCGTATCTTTTTGGTCCGGGGGAAAAGGGGAAACCCCCTTTCCCCTTTCATAACCAAGGGTTTCTAAGCCCTTTTTTTTTGGGAAAAAATGCACTTTTCCCATTGTTTCTGATATTTTCTTCTTGGCGGCTTCAAAAACTTATCCAAAAGGGTTTTTACAAGGGTTTCCCCTGGGGGCTTGCCCCAAATGGTAACATTTTCTTTTAAATTTCGCGTTTGGTTCCCCGAAATTGCTTTTTCCTGAATTTAGTGAATTTCCAAAAAAATTTGGGTTTGGGAAACGGCTACCCCAAATTTGGGACTCCAAAAGGGACTCGGTAAACTGATACGGCCCCACTAGCCTGAAAAAAGCTGTGTATGGTTTTTTTTTCATTCCTTTTGGGGCTTGATGATAGGCACTCTGCAGATCAATTGTGGAAAAAAACGTTTGTTTCTGAGCAATTTTGTTCCCTGTATCGTTTAATTCGAGGTAGAGGGTAACCCTCAAGAAGGGGGTAAATTTTTTTGGTTGGGCTCAGATAACGATTTGCCGGCCCCCATTTCCCATAACCCTCCTTTTAAAAAAACAAAACCGTGGACGCCAAGGGGGCACTCGGTTCTATAAACCCTCCTTCAGGGAGCCTCTGAGTTTTTTTTTCCAATGAAAATCCCATCCTCATTAAAAAATAGCGGGGTGGGCCCTTTGCCCGATATTTGGGGGCAATCCGCGGTAAGATTTGCAAACCCCTTTGGGTGGGGTCCCCCTTAAAATGCTAAGTCCACAGACAAAAAAGAGGAGGCAGTTCACCTTCCCGTTAAAGGGGACAACCCCACCATCAGCTTCTGAAAGTCCTGACCAAGGGTAACATCAGAGCCAGTGTGGGGAGAATAGCCCAAATTTTACATCTTGATAACCTTTCCCTTAAAATTGGGATTTTCCTACAAAACCCCCAAAGGGTGAATAGAGGGGAGATGTTTATGCCATGGAAACGGTACCCGAAAGATTTATGTAGAAATCAAGGAGAGCCGTTTTTAACTAAGTCAAGGTTGATGAAAAATCTCTGAGCTGCCCCTTCAATAAGACCATCTTAAATTCTGTTCCTTTTAGAATACTTTCACAAAGGGCCCTTTTTCAGTGAATTTGGAGGAGCCCCAGAAGTCACGGGTTTCTAGAGTTCCCCCATGATCAAATGGAAGGGTTTGGGGGCACAGCTCTTTTTGATGCATTAGCACGACATCCTTTTTGCAAAAAGGGGCCTTTCTTGTGGAAATTTTTGGCACTTTTCTTTCCCCGAGCGGACACTTTTGGGCGTGGTTTTTCTTGAAAAACCACAAAAAAAACACACCCTAATGCTGCTGCTGTCACTGGGCAGGTTCCCCAGTAACCCTTTATTGGGAAGGGTCTTGGGGGAGGAATTGCCCGCATTTTCCACTCGAGAAGGCCCGAGTGGGATGAACTTTAGGAATTTTTTTTGGGCTGAATTTTAGAGCTCTTGCCCCGGTTTAAAAGGGACGGGTAAGTCGAGGTTTTATTCTCCAATAACGCGCCTTATTTTTTGGTGTTGCAGGGGCCCCGATAAAAGCACCCTGATGGACTTTCACAAAACTGAAGCTGGGCATGCTTGGAAGTTTACGTCCTTACCTAAAATTTTTTTGTGCTTGAAAGTATTTCTTAGGACTCAAACAATCTGCGGCGGGGGGAGGTTTCAAGGTGAAGCGTGCAAAGATTTTTAAATTTTTAGGTTTTTAATTTTACTGAAAATTAGGGTTTTTTTAGCATCTTCGTAGGGGATTTCACTCAGAAAAGCCTCATATATCTTAGGTGACACAAAATTGATGAGCAGACTAGTTTATCTAGATCTTCTTTAGGAAGGGCTCCCAAGAAGTTTTCGAAAGTCTTAAACCAGTGCTTCCATTCCTGAGCAGCCGTTGATAAGCTGGGGTCACAGTCTAGCCTCTCAGGTTTCAGTAAACGCTCCATGTTGTGATGTAGTCTAGCGCAGGATCACCACCAGGTAGCCCAGGATTCTATGTTCAATAAATTGTTGTGATAGAAACACAGGCCTTATCTCTAGGCTTTATTGAACATAGAATCTTCATAGTACTTCTGCAACAACAACATATAATGACTAGTACATCTAATAATGGCTTCTACAGGGATGGTGATGTCTTGCATATGTCAAGAGAAAAGTTATAACTACAGGCCACATATTTAAACTCACCATGTAATCTGCATTGCTGATAAATGGATAAAGTAGGAGAGAATCACACACCATGTGTTGGTGCCCATGACACACACCAAACTGTTGTTGTTGTTAAGGGCCCCTAGAGGTGGTGCAGTATTATCCTGCTGCTGCTCCCCACAGGACCAGTATCACTACAGGGAGCAGAGGTGCTAGGTGTACCACTAACAACAATCTTCAACACATCTATCAAAAAAGGGCGACTACCTGAGGTGTGGAAGACAGCAAATGTAGTCTCATTTTTTTAAAAAAAAGGAGACAGACACGAAGCATTAAACTACAGATCAGTGTCACTGACATATATAGTATGCTGACCTAGAAAATGTACAGACAACCTTCATGGCACACATAACTGTGATAAAACACCTCAGTTACTGGGAATGCTTGAAGTTCCTCAACCTGTACTTCCTAGATACATGAGAGAGAGATACATGATTATATACACTTGGAAAATCCTAGAGGGATTAGTACCAAACTTGCACACGAAAATCATTTCCAATGAAAGCAAAAGACCCCAGACGATGCAACATCCCCCCAATGAAAAGCAGGGGAGCCAGTAGCACAATAAGAGACAGCACAATAGGTGTCAGGGCCCAAGACTATTCAACTGTCTCCAAGCATACATAAGGGGGATTACCAATAGACCCCTGGTTGTCTTCAAAAAGGCGCTGGACAGACACCTAAAGTCAGTACCTGACCAGTCAGGCAGTGGTTCGTATGTCAGGTTGCATGCGGCCAACAGTAACAGCCTGGTTGATCAGGCCCTGATCCACCATGACGCCTGGTCACAGACCGGGCCGCGGGGCCGTTGACCCCCAACCCTCTCCAGGTATACTCCAGGTATGGAGAAGATTATCAGAAGTGGTGGAGCATCTAGAAAGGAATGAGCTTATCAACGACATCCAGCACGGTTTCAGGGATGAAAAATCCTGTGTCACAAACCTACTGGAGTTCTATGACAGGGTGACAGCAGTAAGACAAGAGAGAGTGGTGGGTAGATTGCATTTTCTTGGACTGTAAGAAGGCGTTTGACACAGTTCCACACAAGAAATTAGTGCAAGAGGACCAGGTAGGGATAACAGGAAGGCACTAAAATGGATCAGGGAATACCTGTCAGGGAGACAACAGTGAGTCATGGTGTGTGGCGAGGTGTCAGAGTGGGCGCCTGTAATGAACGGGGTTCCACAGGGGTAATTCCTAAGACCAGTGCTGTTTCTGGTATTTGTGAATGACATGACGGAAGGAACAAACACCAAAGTGTCAATGTTTGTAGATGATGTGAAGATGAAGAGAAGAATTCAATCGGACGAGGCTCAGGCAGAACTACAAAGGAATCTGGTCCAGCAACTGGCTCCTCATGTTCAATTCCACCAAGTGCAAAGTCATGAAGATTGGGAAGGGCAAACAAGACTGCAGATGGAGTACAGTCTAAGGGGGCAGAGACTACAAACCTCACTCAAGGAAAAAGATCTTGGGGTGAGTATAACACCGGGCACATCTCCTGAAGCGCACATTAACCAAATAACTGCTGCTGCATACGGGCGCCTAGCAAACCTAAAAACAGCATTCCGACATCTTAATAAGGAGTCGTTCAGGACCCTGTACATTGTGTACGTTAGGCCCATATTGGAGTATGTAGCACCAATTTGGAACCCACATCTAGCCAAGCACGTAAAGAAACTAGAGAAAGTGCAAAGGTTTATAACAAGACTAGCCCCAGAGCTAAGGGGTATGTCCTACGAGGAAAGGTTAAGGGAAATCGACCTGACGACACTGGAGGACAGGAGAGATAGGGGGATATGATAACATAAAATACTGAGAGGAATCGACAAGGTGGACAGAGACAGGATGTTCCAGAGATGGGACACAGCAACAAGGGGACACAGCTGGAAGTTGAAGACTCAGATGAATCACAGGGATGTTAGGGAGTATTTCTTCAGTCACAGAGTTGTCAGGCAGTGGAATAGTCTGGAAAGTGATGTAGTGGAGGTAGGATCCATACATAACTTTAAGGAGAGGTATGATAAAGCTCATGAAGCAGGAAGAGTGACCCAGTAGCGACCAGTGAAGAGGCGGGGCCAGGAGCTGTAAATCGACCCCTGCAACTACAACTATGTGAGTACACGTGGGTGGGTTCACAGGACTCTGGACCGTCACAACCCAACAACAACAATCTCTTACTACCATACATCCCTCTACACTCTGACAACCCTTAACTCCCGACAACAACAACGAGTCAGAGAGATCATCTGGCTTCCCTTTCCTTCCAGCTGGCTAACCTAAGCAATTACTTAATTATGGCGACGAAAACAAAATCAGTGCAGGAAAGAAATGGTGTTGGGAAAGGTCAATGTCTTGGCTCGGTATTAAATAGAGCACTTACAAGCAATTCTCAATGGCCTGATAAGGTGAGAACACTTGCTTCTCCATAATTTGCAATTTAAGTACGATTTTGCGAAAATTTGGATGGTTATAAGTGCCTTATTATAACATATATGGAAATTACCTAGGATATCCCCCAAAAAGGTCAGCTGACTTATTTTGATTAGGGGCCTGGACAAAAAATTAAAGCTAATATAGGAGTAGATTCATAATTTTCTAAAATGTTGAGACCATCGTAGTGAAAGTTTTTTTTTCATATAATTTCACGGGTTTTGATTATTTTTATTATTACATTGTTGCTTTTAATATCTAGGTAATCTACCTCAAAGATTACTGGTGATTCTAAGACAACCCAATGGAAATAATTGACTTTGACTTTTCTGGATCATTCTAAGTAATCAACACTATGTATGATAATTGTACTTATGTGTACCTGTGTCAAAATAAACTTAAGTCTCTGATATTTTCCTACAGGTGGAGAGTTCTCCCATATATGAACTTAATAAAATTATTGTTCCAGATTATTGTTCTTGAATCAAGCTAAAAATACTCATTTCAGAATAACTGTAAATAATTCACACACAGAAGGGCAAAACTAGGGGAAAATTCTTGAGGATACACCTCGACTACAACCTATAATTGAACAGTCACATCTAACATATATCAGACAAAATTTTCAAAACTATAGGCATTCTATCAAAAATGTGCTGTGCTCCACAAAACTCATGAAATTGTAATAACACAATTACGGACAAATCACATAATGGTTGGGGATTGAACCTATGGCAGGCAAGTCCTAAAATTCACAGGCTGGTGTGCTAACCACTTGGCCAGGTAGAGTGGTTAGCACACTGGCCTGTGAATTTTAGGACTTGCCTGCCATGGGTTCGAGCTCCACCCATTATGTGATTTATATGCTTTACAAACATTACTCACTCTGTACTACTCTCTAATTTGTCCCTACCTTGCTTATGAAAATAAGTCATTGACTTTTTTGGGTTATCCTAGGCAGTCTACACATATTCTGCTATGTATGATAATATAAGTAACTATTTGTGTATACCTGTACCTGAATAAACTTGCTTATTTAACCTACTACAGCAAATCACCTGAAACTTTTTACTGAGGAGAAATTAGCTGCAAGAATAATCATCCAGTTAGGTTCCAGGTAACACACCTCCCTACTTTTAATTCTCAATTTACGCAAAATGTGGAGCACATCGACACTTATTACTGTGCATTTTATATATATGTTATGTATTACACTTAACCCAGTTGAAGAATATGCAACAGAACACAGACACAGTGCAAGAAATGAATATCCATTTGATATACTGTAGCACATGTTTGATTCAAACTATATAGCACATGTTTGATTCAAACTATATAGGAACTCCATGCAAATAATGGACCCTAAAATCTGAAACTTCTCCTTCAGCCACCTGGTTAAAAAATATAGTCTAAGAGTACCTTCTAAATCTGACCTAAATCCTGCTTGTATTATGTTAAAGCCAGGTCTATCAGTAGCAACTTTGTTGATCCATATCACATTAGCATTCATCTCGATGTTCTTACTATCACCAGTGTATTTCAACATATGTCTTGTCTTTGTCTTTCTACTTGGAGTCTACCTACCTGCAGGGTATTCTAGGGATCAACGTCCCCGCGGCCCGGTCCACAACCAAGACTCCTGGTGGATCAGGGCCTGATCAACCAGACTGTTACTGCTGGCCACAGCAGTCTAATATAACCTAAAATATACCTATATTATATTGCCTGATTTTTTTTTTTTTTTAACAAGTCGGCTGTCTCCCACCGAGGCAGGGTGACCCAAAAAGAAAGAAAATCCCCCAAAAGAAAATACTTTCATCATCATTCAACATTTTCACCTCACTCACACATAATCACTGTTTTTGCAGAGGTGCTCAGAACACAACAGCTTAGAAGCATATACGTATAAAGATACACAACATATCCCTCCAAACTGCTAATACCCCGAACCCCTCCTTTAGAGTGCAGGCATTGTACTTCCCATTTCCAGGACTCAAGTCCGGCTATACAAAAATAACCAGTTTCCCTGAATCCCTTCACTAAATATTACCTTGCTTACACTCCAACAGATCGTCAGGTCCCAAATACCATTCGTCTCCATTCATTCCTATCGAACACACTCATGCATGCCTGCTGGAAGTCCAAGCCCCTCGCCCACAAAACCTCCCTTACCCCTTCCTGATTTTTTTTTTTTTTTTTTTTTTCAACAAGTTGGCCGTCTCCCACCGAGGCAGGGTGACCCAAAAAAGAAAGAAAATCCCCAAAAAGAAAATACTTTCATCATCATTCAACACTTTCACCACACTCACACATTATCACTGCTTTTGCAGAGGTGCTCAGAATACAACAGTTCAGAAGCATATACGTATAAAGATACACAACATACCCCTCCAAACTGCCAATATCCTAAATCCCTCCTTTAAAGTTCAGGCATTGTACTTCCCATTTCCAGGACTCAAGTCCGACTATATGAAAATAACCGGTTTCCCTGAATCCCTTCACTAAATATACCCTGCTCACACTCCAACAATCGTCAGGTCCCAAGTATCATTCGTCTCCATTCACTCCTATGTAACACGCTCATGCACGCTTGCTGGAAGTCCAAGCCCCTCGCCCACAAAACCTCCTTTACCCCCTCTTTCCAACCCTTTCGAGGACGACCCCTACCCCTCTTTCCTTCCCCTATAGATTTATATGCTTCCATGTCATTCTACTTTGATCCATTCTCTCTAAATGACCAAACCACCTCAACAACCCCTCTTCTGCCCTCTGACTAATGCTTTTATTAACTCCACACCTTCTCCTAATTTCCACACTCCAAATTTTCTGCATAATATTTACACCACACATTGCCCTTAGACAGGACATCTCCACTGCCTCCAACCATCTCCTCGCTGCTGCATTTACCACCCAAGCTTCACATCCATATAAGAGTGTTGGTACTACTATACTTTCATACAATTCCCTTCTTTGCCTCCATAGATAACGTTTTTTGACTCCACATATACCTCAATGCACCACTCACCTTTTTTCCCTCATCAATTCATGATTAACCTCATCCTTCATAAATCCATCCGCCGACACGTCAACTCCCAAGTATCTGAAAACATTCACTTCTTCCATACTCCTCCCCCCCAATTTTGATATCCAATTTTTTTCTTATCTAAATCATTGATACCCTCACCCACCTTACTCTTTTCTATGTTCACTTTCAACTTTCTACCTTTACACACAATTCTCAAACTCATCCACTAACCTTTGAAATTTTTCTTTAGAATCCCCCCAAAAGCACAGTATCATCAGCAAAAAGTAACTGTGTCAATTCCCATTTTAATTTGATTCCCCATAATTTAATCCCACCCCTCTCCCGAACACCCTAGCATTTACTTCTTTTACAACCCCATCTATAAATATATTAAACAACCATGGTGACATTACACATCCCTGTCTAAGACCTACTTTTACCGGGAAGTATTCTCCCTCTCTTCTACACACCCTAACCTGAGCCTCACTATCCTCATGAAAGCTCTTTACAGCATTTTGTAACTTACCACCTATTCCATAAACTTGCAACATCTGCCACATTGCTCCTGATAACTTGTTATATTTTACAAAGGCATTTAGCCTACTGCTTGGATAACTCTCAGATGTCAGTGACTTGTAAATTTGGTGACTTCATCGGATACCTATCCAAAATCAAATTTATGTACAGTATTAAGTTTTAAACCAAAGCTTTTTTTAAACATTTTGATTTATGTGGTTGTAAAGTGTACTGTAGTTCAAAAAAAAGTGAAAAAAGTGTAGTTCAAAAAAAGTGAAAAAAAAATGTAGTTGAAAAAAAGTGAAGAAAGTGTTACTGTGTGTACTAAGGTGGCCCTCAATTCTAGATGGCTCTTAAACTACTAATGGAATTTACTTTACAGGCTAGAAATATTGTACACAAGCGTAATAAAAAAGGTTGGGAAGATATCAAGATCGGAATTAGACTGAAATGGTGGTAAAATCATAGATGTACAGTATCTTTAATGTACCAATGTATATTGTACCAGTCTGTATGATTGGTACATCTACGTCTCTTTCTCCACCTCTCTTCCCTTTAATATGTTCAAAAGTGCCAGTAGGTGCAGAACAACTTAAGAATGTTTAAGGCATTTATGGTTACAGACATAGCATGCTAGTAAGCTATTTATTTTATTCACTGGGTAGCTTACATCAGGTAAGTCTGTTAATGAAAACTGTTAAAACCCAATCAGAATCTTGATAGCATACATGTACATTGCATTTTCTAAATAGCGACATTAAAATATTGAATGGATTATTATATACCATATTTTATGGTAAACAAGATGCTCCAGTGTTGAAGATGCCTCCAATTGTGACTGGCTAAATTTGGGAAAAAAAGGTAAATGGTATCCAGGGTAATAATGTTATGTTAAGCCTGAGGCATTACATGTAAAAACACACGTGTTGAAGGTTCGTTCTGCAGTTGTTTTGAGACTTATTTTGGGAAATAAATAGCGTCCTCAACGCCATAAAATACAGTATATTCACAGCTTTAATTATATGTTCATCAGATAAATTTGCCTTTATCTACTCATATTTATGTAGTCACATAAATCATTAGATCTAACAAATATATTAAACCTTGCAGTTTAGAATATTGCTAAAATTTAGGATATAGAGACTGTAATTACTCTGAGACATAAGTTGCACTTAAAGGCTGGAAAAACAGTCACAACAGTTACATAACAAACTCTAAAGGAGAGTATTTAATTGGTACAGTACTTTTTTCCTTTCTTTTCATCTCATTCCCTTGATTCTCTCAAACTGCATGATCGTATGCCAACATTGATTTTGTTTTAAGAATGTAAACATTCTCATCCCATTTTGTAAACCCATTTCAAGTTTTTAATATTGACCACAGCAAAACATATTTCTTTACATAATAATACCATTCTCTTTTAATTCTGATCTTAATCTTTCATATGTGGCAATTATATGCCATACATATTGTCACCTTAAGTCACATTCATATGTAAATCCCATTTTATGTCTTCTCAGCTAAATTATACAAATATGAAATAAAGGTTAGTGTCAGGTAAAAAGGACACAGGTGCAAAACATTGCCATTATAATATGTCACATTGTACTTGTGTCCTTTTACCTGACATATTGTTGGTAATTATGCCTGTCATCATTTGTGGTTGTCTCAGACTCCCTTAGTGCTCTACAGGCTATACAGAAATTTGATACACCTCACCCCTTAGTCCTCCGTATCCAACTTTGGCTACGCCGCATCTCTACCAAGCATAAAGATAGTTTTTTGTTGGGTCCCTGGTCATATTGACGTACAGGGCAATGAACAGGCAGACACTGCTGTGCGGTCAGCAGTACATGACCTACCAGTTTCATATAGAGGTGTTCCATTTACGGACTATTTTGCTGCAATAGCTACCCACCTTCACACCCGTTCGCAACAACGTTGGTCTACTCTGCTTGGTAACAAACTTCAATCTATTAAACCGAGTATAGGTTACTGGCCGTCTTCTTGTCACCAGCATTGAGGTTGGGAGACTACTCTCTCCCGTCTTTGCATTGGCCATACTCATCTTACTCATGGATATCTCATGGAGAGGCGCCCTGCTCCTCTCTGTGAGAATTGTCAGGTTCCATTATCAGTCAGCCACATTCTGTTAGACTGCCACTTTATCAACGAGCACGCAGAATTTACCTCCAACGTCGTCTTCACTCCACTGCTCTCTCTTTACCTTCCCTTCTCACTGATGGACCTACCTTTCATCCGGACTCTCTCATTGACTTTTTGACAACAACTGACTTACTTCACAAACACTGATGATACCTTCAGCCCTTTCTACCTCAATCTCTTGCTACCCTCTGCCCCCACACTATCCTCTGCCCCACTGTTTTCTGTAACCTACTGATCATCCCTACCCCCTTCTGCCGCCCAATACCCTCGCTTCCTTCCCTACCCTGCAGCGCTGTATAGCCCTTGTGGCTTAGCGCTTTTTTTTATTATAATAATAATAACATTGGTAATTATACCATTATTACAAAGGTTAGTGGATGAGTTAGGCAGGGTGTGTAAAAGAAGGTTAAAAGCAAACACAGAAAATAGTGAGTGGTGAGAATAACAAAAAAAAAAAATGTTTATCAGTGAAAAATGTTAATGGATGTGTTGGCAGATGGGTCTATGAAAGATTAAAAGTGACCCATAAAATAAATGACGGGGAAAAAGGGTAGGTGGAATGTTGAGACATCTGTGGAGAGAAAAAAAAAGTTTATGGTAAAAAGAAATGTACCAGCATATAGCAGTACCAACCCTTTTATATAGGTGTGAAGCATGGGCTTTAAATGTTGCTATAAAGAGGAGGCCAGAGGCAGTGGAAATGACATGTTTGAGAGCAGTGTGTGGTGTGAATATTATGACAAGAATTCACAGCATAGAAATTAAAGAATAGTGGGTGCTAGGAAAGATATTATTCAGAGTGCAAGGGAGGGGTTGTTGAGGAAGTTTGTGAGTATTTAGAGAGGATTAAGATTAGGATGACCATAAGGGTGTGTAAATCTAGGTTGGTAGGAGGCTTTAAATGGTAGAGCCTTGAGCATTCAGTAGGTATGCAAGACTGGTTATCCAAACATGAGTCCTGAAGGTGGGAAATAGTGCATGTAATGGGAAACCTTTCTTGGTTGGTGACAAAGTTTTCATAATAAAGATACTAAAGTGTTGCATAAGTGTCATAATTCATCATCCTGTCAATTCTCTTAATCATTTATCTGCATTCCATTTTTGGATACTTGCCAACCAAGACTCATCTACTTTTTTAGACAGGTATATTATGTAAATACTGCATTGCTATTAAAGTCTACACTCTAAATTGTATTTGGAAGTTTTGCCTGCTCATACTTTCAGCGTGGTAATCGATCACATGATTGGAGATGAGTTTTACAGTGATCATGGACATGCAACATTTGCATGAATATTATATTTTAAATTTTGGTTACTGTTAATATAGTCTCTCCTCACTTAACAATGGAGTTCCATTCCTAAATGAATTGGTCATTAAGCGAGGAGCACATTATACTGGTAGTGGGTTTGTGTCAGCCATCTTTAGATATTGTTTTAACCCCTTGACTGTCGCAACCCCAAATCCTGAGGTGTCTCCTGGCGTCACAAAATTTAAAAAAAAAAAAAAAATTCTTATGAAATGATAGAGAATCTTTTCCTGATTGTAATGACACCAAAAAAATGAAATTTGATGGAAAACTGACTGACTTACGCTCTCACAAAGTTAGCGACCTCAGCAATATTTATGAATCGGCGATTTCACCCACTTTGAGCCCTATTTTCGGCTAATTCCATTGTTCCAGTCGACCAAACTCATAGCTATTTCTTTAGAACTCCCTTTTTTCTATCAACTGAATACAAGAAACTGCCCATTTACCGATTTCAACTACCCAATAACGTGGTCAGAAATTTGCACTTTGGCCAATTTCATGAAAATTAAAAAATATGACAATTTCAAAATAGGGTCCAGAATGAACAATGCAGACATTCCTGGCTCTAAAATAACATTTTCTTTGTTCATCAGTCACGTCTCCATGCCCCTCTGATATTACTCTTGATTTCTATTTTGAATTTTTATTCAAACAAAAAATAGAAGATTTACTGTTTTGCAGACTACTGCAATATTGTAATAATTGTATAAATAATGTCAACCCATTCATGACTGCATATTAGAATGGCTACTTGGACATTTATTGGAAAATGACATCATTTGTTTACTTTTGAACATCGCCAAATCAAACTTTTCATAGTAAAACCAATCAAAATCACCTCTATTTCTATAATATGTTTTCCATTCTATCAAATGAGACCAAGAAAACGAGAATACAACCATAAATACTATACGAAAATAGACCACAAAGTCAGCATTTTAATTAAAAAAAATGGTCGGAGTTTTTTTCTCATTATGCACTGTGTGCTGCAGACCCATTCTCTCACATGTGGGCCTACCAGCTTACTCCTGCTTGATTTGAAGCCGCTAGAATTTATGAGTATATATACATCAAACATGGTGGCTCGTAAGACATATATATACGACCGAAACAGTCAAAGGGTTAATGTCACCTTTGCACCATTTGTAACATTTTAGTATGTTTTTAAATGTTTATACAGTAGTGTACCGTATAAAAAAAAAATATATTTTTCCTTATTCATTCCTACTTAACTTGCCTCATATATATACGTATTTTGGTTTAATCATATCTTAGTTTTCTGGATATTTTTATCAACATAGTAGATGAACTGAGAAATGACAATATGACTGACTTCTTTTATTTGTCAACAGGACGAGTTCTTGGATGTGATATACTGGGGTCGGCAAGTCCTGGGGATAGTGCTGGGGCTCGTGTGGGGCTTCATACCACTCAAAGGTTTCATTGGTCTCTTTTTGTGAGTACCGTTGAATAGTTTCCTGTTTATTATGATTTTTTTCCCATGTTGGCTATCTCCCATAAAGGTAGGGTGATCCCACCAAAAAAAAAATTACCTTCATTCATTTAACAGCTGTCTTGTCAGAAGTGCACAGACGTCACAGCTCCAGTGATCCTTCGTCTTGTGGCATTCTTATTCCTCCTTCAGAGTGCAGGCACTGTGCTTTTGACCTCCAGGACTCGATGTATATCTTATTTAAAAAAATTGATAATATTAACATTAAATAATTAGCACAATTTGAAGTTGAAATATATATATTTACCAGATTGAATTATTTCAGTTTGGATTTCATATGGAAAGTTTATTCATTAAAATGTGTAATACAGTATAAATCTTATTTGCTATATACTGTATTTGGTCATATTTATCAACAAGTTAATTTAATAATAAAATGTGGAGGGAACAGTGTATTTTCCCATCCTTTTAGTTAACCTATCCTGTTCCATTTAGAAAGGTGGTTAAATCCAAATTGTATAATAGGTGGTGCTGAGGAAATGCCAGCAGGGGCTGGAGGGAAGGAGTGAAGATTTAAGTACAGGTTGACCATCACTAATCCAGCAATGAGTTATCTGGTTCCATCAGCAATCCGGCACTAATTTCGGCTAGCATAATTTAAAATTTCATCATTATACTGACTCAGATTTCATCATTGTATTGACTCGGAAATTGTGCAGATGGTTGTAAATCCACAGCAGCAAGCTAGTGGAGGAGAAAGCAGTGATGAAAATGAGGAAGATATAGCAGAAAGAGTCTCTATTGATAGGTTTATTAAGTGTATTCTAACCTAACCACTCTGTAATCCGGCAAACTCACTTATCTGGCACACTACAGGTCCCAATGATGCCGGATTAGTGATGGTTGACCTGTAGTGGGGGTTTTCAGCATCCAGCAGGCATGTGTAACCTTGACTCATGAAATTGCAATAACATGATTGCAAACAAACCAAGGAATGGGTGGGGTTTGAACTTGCTTGCCATGGGTTCAAACCCCACCCGTTCCATAGTTTGTTTTTTTATGTGTAACCCTGTTAGACTGGAATGAATGTTTTTGGATTTGATGTTCTGTTGGAGTGTAAGCAAGATAACATTTATGTAGGGATACAGGGAAAACCCTGTTAGCCAGACTTGAGGTTTAGAGGCAGGAAATACAGTACATGTACCCTAAGGGATGAATGCGGATGGTGCTCTTCAGAGTGTCATATGAATTGTGATATGTGTGCATTTCTGGAAAGACATCTAGAGAATAAGGTATGATGAATGTGTTTCTTCCTTTGGATCACTCTGCCTTAGTGGAAGATAGCTGATGTGGTAAAAAAATAGACAGTACATATACTGTCTATTTAATGCTACAATTTTATGAACTCTTAGACCATGCTGAAATAAATTTCACAATTTACCATAAAATTAATTTGAGTTGATTGATCTGAATGTCAGATTAAAGCTTTGTAGAATTTAAACCTAATATTTAACAATAATATACAGTATTTCAATAGGTTTCATATATACATATATTCATAATTTCTAGAATAATATATAAATAATGTAACAAGATGAATGACATTTCAGTGGCTAACATTGTTTTAAATGCATAAAGACAATTCATACATGATATTGGACTCTGATATTTAAAGTCTAAGGACTTTTAAGGAATTTTTTTTGTCTGGTATTCTACTGCAGTAAGATTCATTATGCTGATTTATTGACAGGTTTTGTGTTATTAACGCTGCCCTTATATACTTCTATGCATCAAGTTTCCAAGGGATTGATGAAGAAGAATTTGGAGGAATGTGGGAACTTACTAAAGAAGGCTTTGTCACATCATTTGCTGGTTTTTTGGTAAGATATTTTTTCATAAATACTTTGTGTACTATTTCTTAATTGTAGAATAGAGGCAGTCCCCACTTTACAGCACTTCACAAATACAGTGGTTTTAGATTATACCCATTCTTCATTTATTCAGGCTTCCTACAATAAATATATTCACCACACACTATAAACTAAGGATGAAAATATTTTAAGGTAAATTATGTATGTACTGTATGTGCATTTTTTAGGCCTAACTATTGCTCATTTAATATATGACAATGTAAACATGTTATCAAGCAATTTTTGCTTACAGCAGTAGCCTAGAACCTAACCTGTTGTATAATCAGGGCCTCCTGTAAAAATAATATTGTCTGTCATTCTCTTTATTCTAATTATGATGCCTGTTTTATTTTTTATATACTGTTCATTTCTTTTTCTTTTGCAAAATTGAATGACTCGCAGGTTTATCATTTTTCTTAAATTATACAGTACTCGTATTTTTAATACAATATTTTATGCAAATTGTATACAGCTATTAGAATTATATGTAAATAAATTTTTAGGATGCCTTACTTTGCATATATTAATGTCAGTTTTATCAAAGATGTAAACTATGGAAGCACTTACTGTATGACCCTTGTGGGTTTAGCCCTTAGTTTTAATGGTGGTAACAATAGTAATAATAATAATAATAACAATAATAATGGAAGCATTTAGCTAAATAGGTTCTAAGTGCTGCTCAAAGGCTATAAAAGTATCTTAGTAAGGATTCCATCCTGATCACTGGAATCAGAACAGGACACTATAGTATCAACAAAAGTCATTTTGATATAATATTTATATGAAGATTAAATAATAGAAACCCATTGAAATGTTAGAAATAAAGTTTTTCAGGTAATTAACTTTAAGAATAACAGGCAGTCCTTGCTTTAACAGCGTTTTGTAATACAGTATTTTCCAGTATAACCATCTCTCATTTATTCAACTTCTACAATAAATTTAGTTCCCATTCCAGGTATACAGCTAGTGGACAAAAATATTTTAAGGTAAGTAATGTTGTGTACTGTATTCATTTTTTAGGCCTAGCTATATTGCTCAGTACAGTGGACCCCTGGTTAACGATATTTTTTCATTCCAGAAGTATGTTCAGGTGCCAGTACTGACCGAATTTGTTCCCATAAGGAATATTGTGAAGTAGATTAGCCCATTTCAAACCCCCAAACATACACGTACAAACGCACTTATATAAATACACTTACATAATTGTCGCATTGGGAGGTGATCGTTAAGCGGGGGTCCACTGTATATGATAGTATAAACATGTTATCAAGCTTTTATATTCATTTGAAAATGAAAAAAAAGCTACGATTCATTTTTGCTTTACAGCATTATCCCAGAGCCTAACCTGCTGTGTAAGTGGGGTCTGCCTGTATAAGAACATAAGAAAGAAGGAACACTGCAGTAGGCATATGCCAGTAGGTATGTAGTTATTAATTTTCATATCCATTGCAGGTCATGTGGATAATCCTGTATTCTGGGCTCCATTATGACTGACGGAGCTACGCTGGCAATATAAATTATGGACCACACGTCATCTTTATTTACTAATAAAGTTAATTGGTTTGAAAATGTCATTATGAATTTATGAGATAGGAATTAGGGAATAAATCACTTATCTTGTAAAAGATGATCATTATTAAATCCATATTGGAGGTTGTTAATATGTTATCACTGAGGTTCATATTGTATAAATGATTTATTGATACAAGTATTGTGCATGATGTTTTATTTACGCAAAATTAAAAAAAGTGTTTTGCATAATATGCTTTCCTCGTTACTCTTATTTTTTACTTGTACCATTTTGGTTAATTGTAATAGGTATTGTATTTTTTAATGTCTTTCTGTAATTAACTAGTACTGTACAAGCAAATTCTTCATCTTAATGATTTATAAGAATATAACAGGTCATTTTTTAGCCCAGTTCAAAAACTGAGTAAATTTATTTTGATCACCGTATTTTTCTGATTGTAGTAAAAATGGAATAATTTTAGTCATATAATAATTTATGGTGCACTCAGTCATTAGTAGGAACTTAGGCTATCAGTTGCTGAATGAAGATAATGATGAAATGAGTAGGCCTTTCCTGTAGAATGTAATGAACCTCGTATATTTTCTCGTTGATTTATTTTGGCCATTTGATTGTGTCAGTCATATCTATCATTGAGAATTGCTGAGTGTTTATTACTCAATAAAATTATTGCAATTGTAAATAAAAAGTTTTGGCACACTTTTATTATACTGTATTTTTTTTTTTTTTTTGCCAAAAATTTTAATACAGTATTTTCTTTAATATATCTAGACATGTGATGAAGATATGCCATGGTACCTGATAATTATTCTTGTCCAGTATTTCTTTCTTAGACAAATTCAAGAGGTGTACAATACTTATGATGCAATACAATGTACTCCATGGCCAAAGATAACTTGATATTTTAACAGTGCACTAGCCACACTTCATCAAAACCAAATAACTCATTTGTCATGTTGAAAATAATATATTTAGTACATGCCATACCATATATTGTACTGTACAATGATGAATTATCTTTCCATAGAGTAAAAGTGTTTCATTATAAGGATGGAGTACAGGTCGTTAACTTACAGATGCCCAAAGATAAATATCTGCACCTGAAATAAGATAGAAAAAATAAAAACAAATACTTTATTTCTTTTATGCAGTATACAATTAATGTAGTTTATATGTAATAAAATATTATTAGGCATAAAAGAAAGCCACTAGCATGCAGTGCATTTTGGGCAAATGGAAGATATTGAATCAACTGAAGAGGAAGTAAAGAAATTACTTGATGCTAATAAAATAAAACAATAGGAGCAGATGATATGGCACCTTGGGTTTTACAAAAATATACAGAAGAATTATTTTATCCATTTTGGAAAATCTTTTTAAGAATTCATTATAAGAAGGTAAATTGGCAGATAAATATGAGGAAGGCACACATTATGTCAGTATTTAAGAAAGGTGACGGGAAGATACTTGAAACTACAGGTCTGCTTCACTGACCTGTTGTAAAAATATTAGAAAAAGCCATTAAAACTGATTAAATCGTTAGAGAACAAAAACCTACTAACTGGTAAAATATTTGGATTTACATCTTCGAATTTATGTATTATATCTCGCTTTTATCACATTATGCATGATGGAAATTGCTCGAGAAAAAAAAATGGATGAACTGTATTTATCTAGACTTTAAGAGAGATTTTGATAGAGTTCCCCATGAAAAACTACTGTACTTTGGAAACTGCAAAATATGTATAATAGAAATGAAAGGCAAATAATTACAAAGAGAGAATTTTTGTTTGAGATTAAAAAGGCAAAGCTATAAGAAGAAAAATGTCTCAGTGGGGATAAGTCACAAGTAGGGTACCACAAGGATCCTTACTTGCCCTAATAATGATAAAATATATTAATGGAATAAATATATACTGTATACATAATGATTTTTATTTATTATTATTATTATTATTATTATTATTATTCACAAATGCCAGAAGATCATATAAATTGTGTGAAAATTGTGCCGTGCTACTGAATGGCTGTATAATCCTACGGGTTTAGCGCTTCCTCCTTGATTATAATAATAATACTGAATTATAAAATAGCTTTCAAATATGCATATGGATGGAGAAGTGCTAAAAAAAGTTGTTTACAAAATACATTAAGCCAAAATTCTAATACGAAGTGATAGTGTGGTACCACACCTAAAAAAAAGCACATTGATATTTGAGAAAAGGTCAAAAAAAAAAAAAAAAAAAGAGCTACAAAGAGTTAAAATTATAAGCTTTTAGGAAAGGCTGAGAACATTAAGGATGCCTATGTTGGCTGATAGGTGGAACAGAGGACCATATATAAGGTCTAGGATTTTTTTTAGCACCTGCAGCAGGAAAAACAAAAGACGGCATTGCTGGAAATTTAGGAAAAAGTAGAATAAGAAGAATAATAGTAAATTTTTCTTGGTTAAGATTAGTTGACCAATGTAAAGATTTAAAAGAGGAGGGAGTCAATGCCAAACCCATTGCAGACTATTACACAGTTAAAAAAAAAAAAATGAAAAATTGAACACCACTACAGTTGGGTAATAATTTTCAAAAGTTGCATTAAAAACCATGTTAAAATTATTATTATCATAACTAAGTACTAAACCTATAAGGATAACCCTGTTAAAAGCTTTGCAAGTTCTGAGTGATAGTGTGAACATATGTAACTTAGCTTGCCTATATATGTACTATTGTTTTCTATAAAAAACCTTTTGATAGTTAAAAGAATGCACCTCATTTGTAAGCTATGGACCTGTATATCCGACTTCTTGTTAACCCTGCTTTTATTAAACATTGCTACATACTTGTGTATTATAATTATACACAAGCATCCAATATATAAAGTATATGTGCATTAAGACAGTTAAATGGCTGCGTGTGGGCCATCACTGATATGGTATTTCATAGATCCTGTAATTTTTGGGGTTGAGTATTTCTTTTCTTTTGGATTACATAAATATTATGAACCCTTTTTATGGAATAAAATATGGAAACAATTTTTTTTTTCTATCCTTAAAAAAAACTTGTAAATGAAGACAGTTATGACTCTTCCTGGCTTGAAATATTTACTCAAAATAAGAAACTACGTGAAAACTATGCTAACTTGATGTTGGCGAGGAGCTCTTGATCCACAGAACTGTATTTATCCTCTCCTTGGACTGAACCTGAATGCCTCCCATTCTCAGGTACTGTATGACCCCTATGGGTTTAGTGGTTTTCCCTAATATAAATATAACAGTTTACTAATTTTTTTTTAACACACCAGCCATCTGCTGAAGTAGAGTGATCCAGAAAACTAAATACTATAGGCAAGCCCTGCTTTACAGTGCTTTGCTGTATAGCTGTATAATCCTCCGGGTTTAGCGCTTCCCCCTTGATTATAATAATAATAATAATAATTGCTGTATAGCCCTTGTGGCTTAGCGCTTCTTTTTGATAATAATAATAATTTACAGTGCTTCACTTTAACAGTGTTTTGCTAATACAGTGGTTTTCAATTATACACATTCTTCATTTAATCTGACTTCCTGCAATAAATATATTCACCACTTACTATAAGCTAAGGATGAAACTATTTTAAGCTAAGTAATGTGTGTACTGTATATGCATTTTTTAGGCTTGGCTCTAGTGTTCACTTAATATATGATAGTGCAAAGTGAAAAAAAGGCTATGATTAACTTTACAGTGATTTTTGCTCCATGGTAGTAGCCCAGAACCTAACCTGTATAAGTGGAGCCCTTCTGTACTGTATATTTACTATCAGTAAATGGCTGTCTTTCCTTCAAGGGAGAAAGACCTTGTGCCACAGTAAAGGACTCTTAATATGAAGAATTGGACCTTTGTCTCCTTTGGGTTGAATCTGATTGCCCCGACCCCTTTCATGCTCTCCTATCCATTCAGCCTATGGAGATATTCCCCTCATTATTTACAGCTAGGTTGAGAGACAAAGGATCATTGTCTCATTTCACTGAGGCCCTTGGTGGTGGTGGTGGTGGTTGGAATTGGATCATTTGGGGATCTGCTAAGCTGCCCTCTGGAGTTTTGGAGGGTAGCTGTGTGTGACCTGAAGATGATGGGTGTAACCCTGGAGGCTGCATGTCAGTTCTGGTGACAGCCAAAAATGGCGTGTCTTGTGGGGGAAGGGTTCCAGTCGCCTATTTCATTTATTTACCTAGGTGACTTGGTGGATGCAAGGATATTATCCTCAACTGCTGGTTTACTGGCATGAAGAGTAGGGTAAGGAATTATTTCCATGCAACATCTGCACTAGCAACCATGCCGAGGGTATTCTTTAGTACAGATTGGGTTATACGTCTCTCTTTGTATCCTTGGAACTCACCCTTCTTTTTCCCCCTTTTTTGAAAAAGAAAAAAGAAAGCCCTAACCATGGACTACAGAATCCATGATTTACCTTCTCCTGGGTCCCTTGTTTTATCTGCAGCATCCTTACCTGACTCCGGCATGTCCATGGACCTTTCTATGTACCTGGTGGGTTTAGTGCACAGTTTTGATTGTATTGCAAACCTGGTATACTGGTTTTGGGCAACAGTGCTGCCTGACTCTAGTGCTGGAGTTCTGGCTAACCTCTTTGATACCTACGACCTTCAGCTCAACTTTGACCGGCTTCCTCCACTATGGTGTGTTGATTTTCATGTTGCTCACACTGCAGAACAGATTAACTCGAAGCCTTCATCTAAGTGACCTGAATCTGTAATTGATGATTTTAATGTTCACTTACTAACACTCCTTTCTCCTATTTTCGGAAATAATCTGGACAAAATTCTTGTCTGCCAATGACACCTACAGATTACCTCACCGACCATAACATTAACAAAGCATTCCTGAAGCATATTGGACAAAGTTTCCTTTCATGCCTTAAAGTGCTTTTTGATAATTTATTTTCCCCTTACCCTTTTTTGATATTCCTATTTACAATATCCCCATTTCCTTTCCCTATTTAGATGTATGACCATGGGGGTTTAACTTTTATTTTGATCATAATAATTTTCTCAGTTCCAGCTGGGCCCCCCCAAAGGAAGGTTCCTTGATGCTGGGAGGGGCTATTGATTAGGGAATGATTGTGCCCAGTTTAATTAAACTGAATCCCTTCCAATCCCCCACGGGCACTGTATAATCCTATGGGTTTAGGTTTCCCCCCCTTATAAATAATAAATCCAGCTGGTAATGCTCCATTCTACCCCACCATAATCCAACAGGACTATGCAATAGACTAAGACATTCTGGAGCAACTTAAGCTTTAGAGCCTCCCCATCCTAAAAGTACAAGACCCACTTTAGGTTTAGAAAAACAGCTTTTTTTAAATTTAATCCCCATTCTTCATTTATTCGACTTCCTACATAAATATATTCACCCCTCGCAAAAAGCAAGGAAAAAAAAATTTTAAGGTAAGTATATGGTATGTAAGCTTTTTAAAGGGCTTGCTCATTCCCATTTTAATATACTTTTTTTTTTGCGGCTTTTTAGACACTTTTTTTTTCCACAAAATTTCCAAAACCCCCGCATCCTATAACAAAGGGTCTGACGGGAGTAAAATTTGGGGGGTGTTGGGTGGGCTGTACCCTTTCCCTTTACATCTGACACGACCCTTGAAGGAAAAAACAAGTCTTACGACCGTGTTTTATAAGTCCCAAAAAATTAGGGGAAGGGTTAAAGTCTTTTGAGCGTCTCTTTGGAAAAAGGTGAAAAAACATACTAAAAATTTAACCTAGGAAAAACTTAAAAGGGACTAGTCCGTAATCTGCCAAAGAAATCACCCCCCTACAAAAGCAAAAGATTTGGCAGGAGGTGCAACACCCTTTCAGTGAAAGCAGGTGCGATGTATCAAGAGCAACACAATAAATTTGGGGGCCCAAGACTTTCCTTTTCCTCCTAGCATACAAAAGGGGGGGTTTCCCAATAATCCCTGGCTGTCTTCAAGAGGATCTGGGAGGCACAAAGTCATACTACCACCCGGCTGGGGTTTTGCGGGGCTTGGGGGCACCGAAATAAAAACCTAGTTATCGGGCCCCTAACCACCATGAGGCCTGGTCAGTACCGACCATGGGGCTTTGACTTTTGGGAACAACCTTGGTATTTTAGGCAACAAAGACGAAATACAATTATCTATATAGTTTAATTATCTATGATAACAAAAAAATCAAAGTGACTTATTTCCAGCAATTTAAAAAGATTCCCCTTATCTTATGCCCCCCCCCAAATTTGAAAATTTTTGGAAATATGCCCAACTTGTCCTGTCATTATGTACTGGAATTCGATAAAAAAATGAATTAAAAAACAACTGGGCGAATATGAACTTTTTTTATCCAGTACATACACAAACCTTTGTTAAAATATCCGGGCTTTTCATTTAAAAAGTTTACCCCTTTTTTTTTTTTTGTGTTATTTCCCTTTGACTTATTTATTTTGGTTGCGGGGGCCCAAATTCACAGCCCCGGGCCCCCTTTATTTTCGTGGTCGTTACTTTTTTCACTCCTGCTCCGTGATTTTTTATTGTATTCTTCTTAAAGCTATATTGGTTCCTGCCCCCAACAATTTCTCCCGGGTTTTTCCCCCGCCCGAAATTCTATGGTGAAAAATACTTCCTAACAACCCCCCCCCCCCCCCCCCCCCTGGTGAGAGTCTTCAGCTTCCAGTTGTGACTCCTTGTTGCTTGTCCACTTAAACACCTGTCCTTATCCTCTTGTTTAATTCCCCTCGGGATGTATAGTAAGTCGTTATCATGTCCCCCCATATTCTCCTGTTTGGGGTTCTCAGGGCGGTTCCCTTTAAACCCCCCTCGAGTACAACCCCCCAGTTTGGATAGTCTGCTGCAAAACCCTTTGCACTTCATTTTTTTATGTCTTGCAAACAGACATGAATTTTATATTTACAAAAGTGGGTTCAAGCAAAGAACTCTATTATGCCCGGCTTTGGGCCAAATTAACATTATTTGGCTTACATTCTACTTTTAAAATAAGGAAAAATATCATAGTTGTACAGTAGGATTTAAATTTCCCGTTGTACATAGATCATTAATTATAAGTGAATTTAAAACTGATAAGACAAAAGGGTATATTTATGTCTAAAATGTTTTTGTGAAAACAATGGTTCAATTTCATTCCTGCAACAATGGATAAAAAGGTTAAAGTGATTTTTAATTATGATGTGGGAGTACAAGGTATAAGTGTGTAAGGGTATTTAGCTTTAGTCTGGGTGATTTAATGGGTTTTGAATAGAGTCTAACTGATTTTCAAGGGTTACTTTAATAATTTGGAATTTAATTTTTCCCTATTTTAGGGCCCTTTATGTCATTGTTTTTAACAGTGGATATGGACACGAGTATACAAAAAAGATCTGTTCTTGACCTGGTGGGGTTCCATATGGTGCTGCATACTCCATGTGGGGCCCGTTTTACACGGGTTAAAGTCTGAAAAGATTTTTATTAAGGTTTGAAACGCTTTCTTAGGTTTGCCAGCGCCCTATGTTGCAGTAGTTTTTTGGTTTTATGTGCGCCCAAAATTGCTCGTATTCACCACCCAAAAGGCCCTTTTCCCTTTAGTAAGTTTGCAACCTTGCCCCCAGCATGACTCGTCTATGTGTTTTTTGTCTTCCCCCAATTTCATGACTTGCACTTGGGGGGGTTAAACCCGGAGCCCGTTCTGGGCCAGGTTTTCAGTGCCCGATCCCTTTGTATTACCCGACCTTTCACTTTAATTCTTTGCATTTTTTTTACGTCGTCTGCAAACAGGGACCTTTGAATTATTCCCTTTGCCCTGTTATTCACATATACCAAAACAGCACCACCCCCAACTGATCCTGTGAACCCCCCCCTTTATCACAGGTGTCCAACTCGTCCCGAAACACACTTGTTTCTTTTCCCGTCAGATATTCTCTGATCCTGCAGGCCTTTTGTTATTTCGTGTTTTCAGTTTTGTACTAATCTTTGTTGGGAACTGAGTCAAAAAACCCCTTTTTACAATCCAAGAAAATGTAGTCA